TTTTTTTTTTTTTTTTTTTCTTTAAGGTTTTATCTCTTGTTAAGTAGACTTTTCTGTTGGGACTTAAAGACAAGGTTGTTAATTATACCGCATGTAACACTGTACAGCACTTTTCCCCTGCCTATATCTAAGCATATAGTCTGAAACAACTTTTGCCTTTAATTGATTACACTTGATTGTGTGGGTATGTGAGGTAATGGGGATCAAAACCAAGACCTGGCATATACGAGGCAAGCACTCTGCCACACCTGCTTCTTATCTGTCTTCAGCTCCACAGTCTTTTTGGCAGTGACATGTTGGGGTGGCATATCTCAGTCCCCCACAGCCTTTTGCTAGCCTCTGTAACAATGTTTGAAGCATCTTTCTCAGTACCCTCTTCCTTTTGGTAACTTCTAGTTCTTCACTTGGTTTTTCTATGTGAAAGTTATGAACCAACCTCTTGTTTTTTTCTGATAATAATGACACCTAGGCATCAGCCTATGCCTGTTTAAAAATAGGATCAGTCTCCTTATCATTTTAACAGCTAATATCATAGGCTACTCATTTTTGTGTGTAATGGGAATTTAATTCAGGGTCTTCATGCTAGGATACTTCCCTAGCCTCTTCGAAAAAAATTTTTTTTTAAATTTTGAGCCGGGATCTTGCTAAGTCGCTAAGTTGCCCAGGCTGAGCTCAAACTTACGGTCTTCCTGCCTCAGCCTCCCAAAGTGCTGGGATTACAGGATGCCCTACCATGTCTTGAAGCTTATGACTTGAAAATATTTTATATGAAGCAAAAATATTTCTGTAAATATTCTATATTAAAAACATAAAGTGGGATTTTTACATGATCCATGATTTATTTCTGCCTTTAAATATTTGGGAAGATGTCAGTTTTCATTGCTTCCACTGCTGAGCAGTGGAACATGTTTTTAAAAGTCTAAACAATCTAGTTTCATCGAACGTCTTCAGTTTCCTTCTTTCAATAAATTATCAGTCTTCGCTGATTATGTCAAATTCAAAATGAAGTATCCTAATTTAATCCATTGTCATCTGAAACCTGCGTATAACCAACTCAATAAACTATAGCTGCTAGAAAACTCAGGAAATAATTGCATTGCTTTTTAGGAGGAAATTCAAACACGAGTTTTATTTTCAATTTCTCTTCAAAAGCTTTTCTTTCTACTTTTTTGATTTTAATTTTTGCCTACCAGTTTCTGATACATATTACATACCCTTCAGTGGCAGTATTATCACCCCCCTAAGGGCAAAAATCTTACTCTTTTGTGTCTAAAGTACAAGCACATGTACTAGTAAAGTATAACTGTATACACATATATGGACACACACATATGTGGACACATACATTCATGGATATATGTACATGTCATATATATGTAATATTAAAATTTCATGGGAGATCAGATAGAAAAGATGCCCTAAAAGATTCCTGGAGGACAATAATGAAAAAAGATTAAGATAATGTTATCATTCTTTAATAAATGGTGCTGGAAAAACTGGCTTTCCACATGTCAAAGACTAAAACTAGACCCATGTCACTCGCCATGCAGTAAACTAAAATTAAAATGGATCAAAGATCTAAATATTAAAACAGTATCACTAAATCTACTGGAAGATAGAATAGATAGAACTCTTGAAGACATAGGTGTAGGCAAAGACTTTATGAACAAAATTCCTGATCCCACAGGAATTATAAAGAATCAACAACTGGGATCTCATCTTATTAAGAAGCTTTTGTACAGCAAGAGAAACCACCAGCAGAGTGAAGAGACAACCCACAAGTGGGAAAAAATTTCCTCAGACAAAGAACTAATATCTAGAATATATAAAGAACTAAAAGAAAAAGACCCCTTAATTTAAAGACCCAGTCCAAAAATTGGCATCTGAAATGAATAGATACTTTGCAGATGAAGAAGTAGAAATACAAATATATGAAAAAATGTTTAATATCACTGGTCATTTGAGAGATGCAAATTAAAACAATGCTGAGGATTTCAACTCACTCCAGAAAGAATGGCTATTATCAAAAAATCAACCAATAACAAGTGCTGGTGGAGGTGTGGGGAAAAAATAACCCTTTTCCACTGTTGGTGGGAGTGTAGACTGGTGCAACCACTGTGGAAATCAGTGTGATTTCTTAAAAACCTACAACTAGAGGTTCCATTTGACTCAGTTATTCACCTTCTTGGTATCTTCCCTCCAAATTAAATCATCATGCCACAGTGATGTATGCATACCCATATTTACTTTTCTTTCTTTTTTGGGGGTGGGTTTGGTTTTTTTCTGGTCCCGGGAACTGAACTCACGACCTTGCACTTGCCAGGCAGGCACTGTGCCACTGAGCTAAATCCCCAGCCCCTGCATACCCATATTTACAGCAGCACAGTTTGTAATAACTAAATCTTGGAGACAACCCAAATGCCCATCAACTGGTAAAAGAAAATATGTTTTTTTTTTATACAATGGAGTACTACTCTGCCATAAAGAAGGATAAACTTGAGACATTTCTAGCTAAATGGATGCACCTTGAGAGCGTACTCTTAAGTGAAATACATAAGACACATATGTTCAAATATTGCATGGTTTTTCTGCTGTGAGAAACTGAAAGTGTAACTAAGGACCAAAATGTATAATAGATATTTGGGAATAGGGAAAGAAGTGTTCAAATGGGAATGGGAACTAGGGAGGGGGTGGGGCAAGGAAGGAAGGGAAAAGACTAAAAGGGAATGGAAGGACACAATGTAAACAAAGCTTTTGTAAATAAGGAAGGGAAGACAGGTTGAAGGGAGGAGAAGGAAAAGGGAAAAAAAAGAAGAATCAAATATATCAAGGTCTAGGGATGTGGTTCAGTGGTAGAACTCTTTCCTTGCATGCACAAAGCCCTGGGTTTGATCCCCAGCAACACACACACACACACACACACACACATACACACACACACACTATATGTCACTTCTAAATACCCAGGATTCATTTCTTGGCCTCATGCCAGACTCAATAGTCTGGGATTCAGCCAAAGCCTTGGAAAGACGTCACCACTTTGGACATGGGTAGTGCTTGATGGTACCCCAGAGATTCATGTAAGTCCAACATACTAATTTTTAGGTAAAAATTAGAAAAGAGCACATAGTTTGCAAAAGAATCAGACTCAACTCTCCTGGCAGCTAAACCACTGCTGGAGTCAACCATGTGGTCAGGAGGAAGGGGAGGCAGGGAGAGGGCAAATCCTTTTCCTTTTTCACTATATGTGTGTGTGTGTGTGTATATATAAATAACATGTACAGATACAAATTCCATATGATGAATGTTATCTTTATGTATATCTAAAAATATACCAATAAAATTAATTTTAAAAAAGTAAAAGGGAACAATATTCAGCCATGAAAAGTATACATTTAAATTGTTTTTAGTGCAGTTACAGAGTTGCACACACACAAAAGATGACCTTATCAGATCAGGTCTGGTCCTTCATCTAATTGCAGCAACCCTCCCTTTGCTTCTAGTTACTCTGCACGGCTTTGCTCTCATTTTTCAGGTCTAATATTTTTCCCAGTGTCCACAGTTCTCCTCTGACTGATCCCCTCTTGCAAGTGACCCATCAGGGCTTTAGACTGATCTTCCCACATCCTAACTTCCTGACCCATCTCTTCCCCTGGCTATGTCTTTGCTGGGCATTAAGTATAGTTTCTCCCCATTAGTTCTGCAGGTCAATCTTGCCCTTGTCCTTATCTGAGGATACCAGCTCACCAAGGATCAGGGCTGAGGAATATTCTGTTCAACCATAGCTGTGCTGTGTTTTAGGATGTGAAGAGATTGAATTCAGTCAGCTCATCTTCAGAGAAGACTTCCTCAGTGACAGCTACTTTGGGGGCCGCTTGCGTGGCCAGATCGCCACGGAGGAGCTGCATTTTGGGGAGGGCGTGCACCGCAAGGCCTTTCGCAGCACAGTGATGCAGGGCCTCATGCCCATCTTCCAGCCTGGACACGCCTGCGTGCTCAAGGTGCATAACGCTATAGCCCACGGGACCAGAAACAATGACGAGCTCGTCCAGAGGAACTACAGGCTTGCCACCCAGGTGGGTCTGTCTGCTCAAAGGCATGCCTGTGGGCGTGAGAGTTACTCACTAACACGAAGTGAAAATCAGACTCAGGATTGAGGAGAGTGTCTCCAAAAGGCTGATTTTCTTCTTTTGGGGTGTGGATTCAGGCCAAATTCTGGGAGGCACTTCTAAATACTCAGGATTCATTCTTGGCCTCATGCCAGACTATTGGGATTCAGCCAAAGCCTTGGAGAGTCCTCACCAGTTGGGACATGGGTAGTGGTCATTTCTCTCCCTGGGAAGCCCCAGGAGGCCCCTCAGGTTTTGAATCTACTTTGATGAAGGATGATATGGAAGGTAGGAGTTCTAAGTGACATTAGATGCCAGGACCCCCAAGGGTTACCAGTGACAGATGAAAACCAGCATTAAATTCTTGAGTATTTTCTTTGATATTTATGGAGGGGGCAGTGCAGTGAGTATACTCAGAAGGGTCAACATGGACCTATTTCCTGCTTTCCTTAGTTTGGTTTAACATTGGCCTTAAACCATGATGAGAGACTGACCCCAGGCTCTAGCTAAGTTTTCACCTCTCTCTATTACTGAGCCACAGAACTTGAGAATAGAGGAAAGGACAGGGTGGGAAGGGATAAGAAGGGAGAGGAAGGGAGGAAAAGGATTTGCCTTCTCCCTGCCTCTCCTTCCTCCTGACCACATGGTTGACTCCAGCAGTGGTTACCTGCTAGGAAAGTTGAGTCTGATTCTTTTGCAAACTATGTGCTCTTTTCTAATTTTTACCTAAAAATTAGTAGGTTGGACTTACACGAATCTCTGGGGTACCATCAAGTACTAGGTTTCCATGATTCTGCAAGGTGTGGGGATGTCAAGTGGGACCATGTGCTGACGAGAGCAGCCCCTTTTCTCTGAGGAAGGATTAGACTCCATTACATTCCTTTCTCCTCTAAATCCAGCCCTCTCTTTTCTTGCACCAAATCTTCTTTCCATCTCAAGTATGATCTGGTCATAAAAAAATCTCTTGGAATCTACACCCCCACCCAGAAAGGCCCCACACAGTAGCAGCTTTCCTTAAACTAAAAATCTTTTCAAGGAGTTTATTGTTTTCTACTCAAGTTATCTTTGAAATAGAATGGAAGTGAGAGACCTTACAGGAAACCAAGGAGGGCTCGATGCTAGTTCTAGGAGTAGTATACGGATATTCCTCCTTTAATACCTACCTGTTAATGACTATTCTGATTAGGATCACAGCACACTGTTTGGATTTATGACCTGCATTCGGAAGGTAAGCAGCAGTGAAGCTTTATGGTGACTTCTACAGTACAGTACTGTAATTTTTGCTCATTGTACTATACAGTACAGTACTGTAGTTTCATGCTGTTATACATTATAGTACTGCATATAAGAGTCATGCCAGTAAAAGAAAAGTCATGAAGTTGGAGTTTTCTTTCACCATTTCTTCACTCTTAATATTGTAATGTGCATAACTGTATATAATTCCTCACTTGGTGACCAGTTAATTCAACCACCTAGTTGCAGGAACGTAACTCGGTCATTAAATGTGGAATGTCTGTAGTCTAGGGGCACCTGAGTCTACAGATTACTTGACCTTGGCCTGGAGAGTCTTCACATCTCAGAGCTCCTCTGCAGTTGACCAACTCTAGGTTGCAATAATTGTGGCTTCAGGAGGTGGAGGTGTACCTCAGTGGTAGAGCATTTGCCTAGCATGCACAATGGCCTGAGTTTAATTCCCCACTATGGCAAAGGGAAAAAAATGTGACTTCAACCAAGGGATGGGCCTTGGGAATCCATTGGCTTGGCTTGACTTATATTGGAAAATCTAAATAGCTTTACTGGGAAATATGCTGAATTCTTCCAATCACTTGGCTTTCCCTTGTATTTGGGTGCTATAGGAATGCTATGTCCAGAATACCGCTAGACACTATGCCAAGATCTATGCTGCTGAAGCACAGCCTCTGGAAGGCTTTGGAGAAGTGCCAGAGTAAGTGTTTTTGTCCTGTCTTGTATTACCAACTCCGACTCGTTGGGACTTAAAAGATCTGGGCTGGGGGAGTGAGAGGGTGGGAAGGACCCCTAGGTGAGCTGTTTGATTCGGTCTGTCTGTAAGCTGCCCAAGGGCTGTGAGGGCTGCTGTCTGGTTTTTGGTCTCCAGAGGCATATAGAGAGGTTCCTGATAAATACTCTATGAATAAATGTCTATGTGGATGGGTAATGAATGGATTAATTCATTCAATAAATGTATCTGCCATGCTACATAGAAAAGTATTTACGTTTATGGAGATTATGTTGTCTAAACAATAAACAAATGCAATCCAGTAAGGGACTGTCCCAGTATAATTAGTCTGATGAAAGTAAGATATGGAGACTTGACAGGAAAGAGTGAACTGGGTGATCAGGAACCCACCTCTCACTTTCAGAGATCCTTCAGAGATGACTTTTATTGGGATCCTTTTAAGTAAAACACAAATCACGAGTGTCAAGATTAACCGAGAGACTTGAAAAGGGTGCAGGCAAGTTGAAGGTAGGCGCTTAAAGGGCTTCAGCAGCATCTCAGAAGAGAGGCCACTGTCTTCAAGATAGATGCGGACATTTTTTCTGTCAAAAAAACCACTTTGCCTTCCTTACAATGGGAGACTTTGTGACCACATGAATGGAGGGGATGCTGTCCTCAGAAGGACACTGGGGCCAGAGTCCATGTTCAGAAAACCTAACTCTCTCTCTCTCTCTCTCTCTCTCTGTGTCACACACACACACACACACACACACACACACACACACACAGAGAGCTGGCCTTGCACATTTCCAGCCTTCTCGGAAAAGCATGCCGTTGAGGCACAGTTGCTCCTAGAGAGAAGGCCCTGAGTTTCTGGACCCCTCTCCCACCCCGTGTTTACTTTCAGACAACGAAGCAGCCAGCAGCAGTTCTCTGCGGGCTGGGATCTGCAAGAGAAAACATTCTGCACTCTGTAGCTTCTGATTTTGAATTCATGAATATCAATGGAGTCACATTGTCTATGCAAACAGTGTCCCACTGGGCAGAGAGACCAGGCTAATTAAGAACCTGAATAATGCCCAGCCCATGCTTCTGTGGTTTCTTCCCCACAAAGGCTGCGGAATTAATAACCCAGACAGAGCGTGAACCATTTTGCTTGATCGAAAATGCCATTGACAAGAGGGGTTCCTCAGAGGGTTCTCTGAATCCTGCAAAAATGAAGCTCAGCAGATGAGAGCTTGGTGGCCAGGCTGATTTTAGGGGTATGGAGCAGAGCCACTGCCCCTAATTTGCCCAGTCCCTCTGGCTGCTACTTGAAATTTCCTTAACCACACACACAGAACTTTCATCCTAAAATCAGAAAGAATACTTCGCGGCCCAGCGTCCTTAACATTTGCTTTTTCTCCCACCTGGAATGTGCTTGCCTTAGATTACCTCACAGCTTTCTCCTCTCTTCCTAAAGGCCTCCACTTGTCTTTTATTGTTAGCAAAGACTTCTCTGACCTCCCTAAACAAAATGGTAGCCCCTTCTGCACCTTGTGCTACTGATCTCTCCTCTGCTTTATATTCCTGCTGAGCAGAGCTCTCAGCACAGGGCATACACTTGCTCATTTCTGTCTCCCTCATTTGAATGGAGGACCCAAGAGAACAAGTGCCTGCCTTCTTTACTGCTGCCTGTGGGAAGTGTGTGAGCCTCGGAGGCCACTGCACGAACACTTGCTGAATGAAAGGAAGATGAGAAGGAAGGGAGGATGCGTGGGTGCAAGGGAGGGTGTATGGACATATGGATGGATTATAGTCATCGGCCACTGGGTTATTAGGATATGACTATAATTAAGACATTCATTTACAAACAATTGGAATTAATCCCAAGGAGGAAGTTCTAACCAACTGTGGAAACAAAACCAGAAATGCATCTTATTAAATAATCACTGGGGGGAATTTTTAGTCTTAGATCTAGTGGATGAGCTGAAGGTGTAGCTCAGTGGTAGGGTGCTTGTGTAAGCACAGACAGGGCCCTAGTTTTAATCACTGGTGTGGCAAAGAAAACCTAATGGAACTCAAGGACCCAGGTATTGATTCTGAGGTGAGGATAGGATGCCCCGCACACTTTTCTTCACATTTGAGAACTTGATATGCACCCGTGCTCTCCTCTTTGCCAGGATCATTCCTATTTTTCTTATCCATCGGCCTGAGAACAACATCCCATATGCAACAGTGGAAGAAGAGCTGATTGGAGAATTTGTGAAGTATTCCATCCGAGATGGGAAAGAAATAAACTTCTTGAGAAGAGAATCAGAGGCTGGTCAGAAATGTTGTACCTTCCAGCACTGGGTATACCAGAAAACCAGTGGCTGCCTCCTGGTCACAGACATGCAGGGTGAGAACAGCTGGTCCTGGGCTGTAGGGATACTGAGGGTCTGAGGTGTTCCTAGCAGCGGGGAGGAAGTGACACAGGGGAAAGAAACTCCCAACTTGCTAGATGTACGGTATGACTTTGTATGCTCTAAAATTGAAGAATGAATTTTAGGAACAATGGAGGTTAAGAGCAGAATATATTTACTGGGGGAAAGAAAACTTCTGTCTGAGAGAGAGACAGAAGAGGTCCCAAGTGGGTTGCCAGACTCTGCCTTTTCTAGGCATTTCATAGAGCAAAACCACGAGGTGAGGAACCACAAGGGGGGGATGGGAAATCACAAGGTGGGACAAAACTGTGGTCAGCCAATAAGATTATGAGTATAATTGCTCAGGTAAAATTGATTAAATAGGATCAATGAAGATGCAAGTCATGTAGCATGTGGACATGAATATAGAACAGGTGCTCTTCCTGTAGGGGGTTGGGCTAGTAGCCCTTCCTGGGTTCCTCAAGGTGATCATACCTATTTAGAATATCAGTCCCTGATGTGTATCCTTAGGAAATACGTGGGTGCATTTGTTTATCTTTGTCTTGAGGTCTGGCCCACAGTGGAGGTGCCTGTCTCCCCCACAGTTGCAAGGCATCTCGTCTTCTGCATTGGCTCCTTGGAGGGCCTGGCCCTATCTGACTGCCTATAATATTTTTATCTAACTTAGCTGCCTATAAAAGAAGGAAAGGAGGAGAGGAGAAGGAGAGGTCTGCTGGATGCCTTAAAGTACCCTTACCTGAGGAAGGTATTACTAATGTCTCATCAGAAACAAGTTTGGCAAAGGAACCTGCGATGACTAGCCAAATACAATAATAAAGTGCATTTTAATAATTATGCCAATAATCTCTTCCCATTATGAAAAATAACCAGGGAGCAGCTCTGTTGCTTTATCCTCAATAGGCACAAACTCAGAAGCACATATGAGAATCCATATGTACCAAAAAAAAATACATATTTCATTCTCAATACATGAAAGGGTTTTTAGAATGCTCTAGGTCTGAAGCTTGCCTGGTGAATTTATAGCATGCTTTTAATGTGCATACAATTTTTCAGTAAAACCATTTCTTGCAGAAAGAGAGATTGTCATAATTAGGGTTCCACCAGGATATTCCTGAGACAAGTGTAATTATCACTTGGTATCTAAGAGGGATTGGTTCCCCAAACGCTTGGATGGCCAAGTTTCTTTTATATAATAATGTAGTATTTGCATGAAATTTATGCAAATCCTTTAAATCATTTGTAGATTGCTTATAATACCTCATACAGCATAAATACCATGTAAAAAGTTGTTACGGTGTATTATATTATTTAAGGGATGATGACAAAATTAATCCATATATGTTCAATAGAGATAAAATTTTCATTAATATTTTGGTCAAATCTGAGGATACAGAACTCACAGTTGGGGAGGGAGGACCAGAGGACCACTGTATTTAAGAACAAATAGCTCTTTTAGGAGGAGGTCCCCGGAAACAGAGGTAGAGGATTCAGGAAGTACAGCTAAGGAAGAGCCGGCAGCCAACCGGGCACATGAGCACATAGCCGGGTCCTGAGCTGGGCAGTGGAGCTTACTCTGCTGGGCCTGTGCCGAGCTCATTTCCTGCAGGCATCCACCATGGAGTGAGGGATCTGGGGTGTCTGCCCCCAGCTTGCAGGAGCACCAGCTTGTGATGGGGGCTTTGACTCCCCCGCACTCGCCACCAGCTGCATGGGCAAGCGAAGGTGGACAAAGCATGAGCAGAAGAGTCCTTGGGCAAAGCAATGCGGTTCACATACAAGGATGCAAAGCTTTGGCGATGGCAAGGTGTGGAAGAGTAAGACTGCCTCACCACTTCTCAGGGGTCAGCCCCTGGGTAAATGACTCTCAGGTCTCTGTGCTTCAGCGCTTTGGGCGTGGGACTGCAGTGAGGATTAAATGAGATGGTAAAAGGCAGCACTGCTACATAATAAAGTATTCCCACTCTGAAGTAATTATAGACATAAGGATTTACAAAAATATACAGAGAAGCCCCCACGGTCCCCTTCACCCAGATATGATAGTTAATCTTGCATAACTATACAGCCCATTATCAAAACCAAGGTCTTGACACTGGTACAGTATAATTAACTGCAATACAGATTACTTAGTTTTCGTATGTACTCACTTTCTTCTATTGAATCTTCATAATAACATTGCAAAGATCGTATTAGATCCCATTTTGCAGATGAGAAAACTGAGAACCAGAGGCAGTGATTTAACTGCTGCCACTTAACTAGTAAGAAAGAGAGGTCCAAGACTCAGAACCACATTTTCTGATGCCGCATTTTGAGCTTTTCCCACTAAACCACAAATTAACAAATTGGCAAAGATTAACTTCCAACCTTTCCAGTGTCTCTGGATGTTAGGAGGGCATAGTATGTGCCATCTTTTTTCTCTTGAGTCCTCAGAGGGCCAAATGGAATATGAACTTCACTGTCCTGCAGGTGGGCTGCTTTGCAAATTTAAGGCAGCCACCTCTGCCCATCCTTGGAAGAGACTTGACCACCATGCTTGTGCACTCAAAGAGCATGGTCTTAACAGACAGTTCTCTACTCAGACTCTGGCTGTGAAACTGTTGCTGTTCCCTCATCTTTTCTCTTTCAGAGTGAATTTGGAATTAAGTATAGTTTCTCTCCTGCAAAACAACACCCCGGAGCTTCATGCACAGCTAGTTTTGCTTCTAGCTACTAGTTAACAACTGTAGAGGTGGAATATTACATTTCTCTGTAAATGACATGTGGTGGTGCAGCATTTCAGAATGGTGTTTATTTACTTTCTTCTGCTGAGAAAATTCTTTTTATTGTCTTTGTCATTCTGGAATGAGATAGCACATCTATTTCCTAAGCACTGTGTTCACTTTTTATAATTGTATTGAGACACTGGAATTAGGATTAAAACAAGCAAACAAACAAGCATAAAATTGAATCATCACTTCCTTGGACTCCTATAAGTTATCCAATTCCTGGGTGCATTGGCTTGTTTATAGGACTGTGGGGAGGCCTGCAGGTTTGTGAAATAAAACCTAGGCTGCGGTTTAGAATTAAGACCTGTACACTGGTAATAAATGCCGCTAGGCTTTCTAAGGCCATAACATTGAAAAAGCCCAAGAGCTCAAATTCTGGACAATGGACTCCTGAAACTGCCAGCTTCCTTCTTTGCATCAGAAACAACCTGTAAATCATCATGACCCTCAGCTCAGTTTGACAGCAGCAGGCCAGAATTTCATTTATTGGCCCCTAGTGATTGTGAATAACCTTGGTTGAATTGGTGACAAATTATTCAATCGAGAGAGAAATTTCTTTTTAAATATTATATTCTCTTTTTCTAAACTGAAAACGACAGCTGGTAATTATGAGAAGCAAGGGAAAGCAGTTCTCCAAGTTCAAGGACCTTTTGCCAAATGACTTTTTAAAAATTGAGCTTCTATGCAGCTTAGAGCTATAAATTTTAAATACAACTTTCCGTGAAACATGATGTCCAAGGAGGGCTTTTAAAATTTGGCATCTTTTTTAAAATGTAGACCTTGTAATAAAAGCTATGTGAAGCATTTCTACATACGTTCAAGTTGTTAGCAGCTTTGAAAGAATGAGATGAATTAGTTACCAACTGTGAAAGAGGCTTTTAAAATGCTCTCCGGCACCCCCGAAGTGCCATGTCTAATTTAGTTCACAGGTGCACTGCAGAAAAGCCGGCTCATTGCTTCTGTCTGACTAACCAGTCTGAATAGCAACATGTCCTGTATTTTTGCCACGCTGCAGGCAGACACTGCTGAATTGAGCGTTAACCCTTCAAGCTTCCCTTCCTTGGGCCTCTGGGATGGAGAACCACAAAATTAGATTGCCTTTAGATCTGATCACCATGGTTGGCTTTGGGGGGATGCTGGTTCCTTCTACCAAACAGATTGGTTGCTAGACTGCCTGATCCTTCTGTGGCCAGATCGCCTGCCAATGGCAGGGACAGCCTTGCTGATAGCCCATGGAGGACCAGAATCAAAAGTGAAAGAGAGGGGAGACAAGTGCTGGCGTAGTGCCCAGCAGGTCAGACACTGGTGGGATAACATTGTGGATGCTGTGTCCTGTGATAAGAGTGGATGGCACAGTGAGGTCCACCGAGACCAGGCAAGTGCCCAGATCCACCACTGCAGGGAGAGAGCAGTGGAATGGATACCTGATTGGAGCGAAGAGATGGTAGAAAGGCCCAGGGGCCTCCATGATCAGGGATCGGAGAGGCGCTCTTCCCTCCTGCTAGTCCCATGATGGATCAAGGATGCGGGTTGCGGCTGGGGATAGAGGGAGCAAGGATGGCTATTTTCTGCTGCAGAAGCTTTGGGAAGCGCTTGTTCTCCTCACCATAGCAGACTGTAGACAGTAGATTATCCATTCTCCTCACATTCCTGGCTCTCTACCTACTCTCCCAACTGGCCCTGCTGGAAAGGCAGGAGTGAAATGACTCTTGTGCTTGGAATTCCACCAGGGACATCTGTGGTGCTCTGCTGAGGCCCTGTGGGAAGCACAGCGGGTGCCTGTTTTTGTTGCTTTGCTTCTGGTACCCTCCCCGCAAGCACAGCTCAATGGATGGAGATAAGGACAAGTGTCAAAGGCTCAGACCATGGGTTCCAAATGTCAGTGTCCCCAGACCACTGGCTAAAAGTCTTATTTATGTCAGGAATTGTTTTCCTAGATCTGAAGCTGGTCTAGAAAACTTCAGCCCTGATGGGAAGCCATCTTCATGAAAATGGGAAATTGCGTATTGGAACTTTGGCTTTGACCTGAGCAGATGTCACCTTGAACTTTCTCACTGTTGACCCTGAACACTGTAGTCCATACCCACTCCTCCTTTTACTGTATAATGATTTCCACTTTCAATGAGGAAGAGGGGACCAGATCTAACCCTGCGGCAGAGCACTTCTGGTGAGACAGCACATGGAAAAGTGACAAGCCTCAGATACATCACAGAGCAGCTGGTTCCCTCCTCTATCCTGGGGGCGGCATATACCAGGCACAGCTTGACTCCCCTGCACTGCCATCAGAGGTCTGTCCTCCGCTGTGTCACCCTTCCCCCGAAGCGGGTGCATGTCAGAGAGGCTGTCAGCTCCAGGATGGAAACAAGGAGGGAAGTGTGTCTGCACAAGAAGGGAGCAGATGACAGGGCTGTCCTCACCCCTTCCCAAAAGTAGACGGATCCCAAATGACTCAAACTCCATCCTTACTCTCTCCCCATAGGTGTAGGAATGAAGTTAACGGACGTTGGCATAGCAACGCTGGCTAAAGGGTGAGTAGGGAGAAACCAAGTGCCTGTCATTTATCCCTGGGCTTCCAAACACCTTCCAGGCAAGCGCCGGTAGGCTGGTGTGGGCAAAGTGGATTTCCTGCCCTCACTGTGGCTGACAAATGTTCTTGGGATGAATTCAATTCACCTCTCTCACTTACATAAAATATTTATGGGCTTGTTCTTGCGAGGAAACACATTTGTTTCCTAACTCTGAAACAAACAAGAACTCTTGCAAGCACACTTCGAAATTATTTGCAGGAGTGCCATGGAGGGGGAAGAATGCCAGCATTATGGGATGTCTTTTAAATAGGGTATTCCATAGTTCCACAGTTAATATCTTCACTATTAAACAGCTTCTTTAAAAATGTTCCTTTTTTTTTGCAATTGGGCACAGTGGATTCAACTTGTATATTTTTAACTTATTTTCCCCCGACACTACTTTAGGTGGCTGACAGACACCTGGGATGATTTTTACAGGAGCTAAGGAATAGCTATGATTGTTACTTGTGCTTGCTGGTGGGTTTGTTTTCCTCCTTAAGTGGAGGGTGTCGCCTTGCTCAGTCGCCAGCCCAGATGAGGCTGTATTCTACTAGGCTATCTTTTTAACAAACTGTCCCTTCTTGCTGCTTTACTTGATCTCCACTGAGGAGACCACAGGCTATTTGTGGTTCTTGGCGAGAATGAATTTCTACTGGACTTGCTGTTGCCTTTGCACCTGACTGCTCTTCCCACATGCTAAGCCAGCCTGCGAGGAGGAGGAAAGAGCCCATAGCCTTGCAGGGCAAGGAGAGGGAAAGAGCCTATAGCCTTGCGGGGCGGGGAGAAGGGGGCCCCTTGCTTTAAAATGTACTTTTTATTGTTGATTGGGTATAGGGAGGTCAACTGATCAGGAGGTGACTGCCGCTGAAGAGGAGGGGGCACATCAAACCAGTGGTTAGGGGGCACGGAAAGAAGCTCCGGGTCGGACAGGCGGCAGAGAAGATGAGGCAAAACATAGCCAGGAGCCGTGGGATGCTGTTTTCTGGAAGAAATGGGCCCAGCAGGGTAAGCAGGCTTAGGATAGGCTAGTTTGAGTTTCCAAGGGGCTGTCCTTGGCTACCGTGCTAGGTAGAGGGTAGTCTGAGTGCGAGAGCCTGATGAAGGCGGTGGGTGTGGGCACTGGATGGGGGTCTGCATAGCGAAGGTGTCCTGAAGCTGTGTCACCTGCCATCTCCAGGAATCCGCTGGCTCTGACAGGGGCAGTCTGTCCAGGGTCAGTGAGGCCCCAGATGTCAGAGCAGCAGAAATACAGAAAATAAAACAGAGTGATGAATACAACCCACTGGCCTGTGACTTGGATGACAGCTCCACAAGCTTTGCAAATATTTCAGATGATGGATGTCAGCAATGCTCTAATAAATATGTTAATTTTTAGCTTTAATGAAGGATGGAAGAAAGTAGAGGGATCCAGACAAGTGAAAAGGGCCCACTCTTTCTTTCAACCTCAGGCTCAGAAGTCAGAATTCTCACTAATTACACAAAGCTCCTAATTGGGCCTTAGAACCAAGATGCAGTTTGGACATCTCCCTCTGATGTGATTGCTTCTGAAAAAGCTGCTCAGAATAATAAAATGTAATGTTGGACTTATCTCCCATATTCCTCCCCCAGTGGTGTCCCGAGCCCCAGTTGTCACAGGCTGTGGGGGATGCGGCCAGGCCTGGGCTTGTGATGGGAGCGTATCGGGTGGGAGGATGATACAGGAGGAGAGCAGGGGCTCTACAAAGGCTTCATTCGAATCTGGGCCAGGCCATGGACTGCCACTTCTTCAGGTGGTAGCCTTGCTTCTGGGCATCATATGTATTTGTCTGTCTTACCTGATGATGGGTGTGACTATGCGCCATTTCCCCATGACAGAAGTCTTATGTGCTGATGGTCTTGCATCCCATCCATTTCAACATTTGTCCTGGATGGAGTCCCACTTAGAAGCATAACCATTTAGAAGACAAATTATGAAAGCCTCTGAACCCCAAGAGCATTTCCCAAAGGGAGCCTTTCTTTGCAGACTCACTGCTCTTCTCTGCAGGACATGACAAATTCAGGCATCAGCTAGGTCGGGTTTGAGTCTGGCTTCCCATCATAGCTGCTTTGTGGGCACACAACTTCATGTGCTGGAAGCCACTCAGCTATAGAATGGGGACACTCAGCCTTGCCTGCGGACAGGTACACCTTGAAGCTTGGTGTGAGTGACATAAATACTATTTTGTTGTTGTTGTTTTTTATTTTTGAGACAAGTTCTCGCTATGTAGTTCAGGCTGACCTTGAACTCACACTGTAACCCATCCTGGCCTTGAGTTTTTGCCCAATCTCCTGCCTCAGCCTCCCAAGCGCTGGGATTACAGGTGTGTGCCACCATACCCAATTGCTATAAACAATATTTCTCTTTCCCCTCTCATGCCTCAGCCTGACACCTGAACAGGCAAATTTCATGCCATTATTTGCAACAAATTTCTCCCAAAATAAAGCAGAAACCTACCCAAGTAGCTCCAAAAGTTAAGATGGACTTAAGACTGATTTAAGACGTCTTTTAAAAGCGTATCACCAGCTTCCAGGAACCCAGACCATCTGTGGGCTTCCCATGGCATTTTTTTCCCTCCTAATTTAAAAAGAAATCCAATCCCTCGGTTGTGTTCTCAGCTTTAATGTGACTTATCTGGCCTGGGACAGCTGCCCAAGACCCATTAGAAGAGTGGATGGCAGAGCCCAGGGTGAAATGCGGCCTGTGAGTGTTAACACTTTCCCACCCAAGGAGAGAGGTGGGGGAGGGGAGGGGAGGGGCGCCAAGGGGGTTCCGCTGTTTGGGGGCTTTTAAAGGAACACTAAATCATCCTGTCCATTTTTTAAAAAGTTTTCTTTAAAAATTGAAAGAAAAGTAACAATTTTTAAAGCCACAGATTTTTTTTCCCCAAAAAATAACTATCTTAGAAGCTTATTTTGAAAATCTGATGGAAACTTCTTCCATGGGAGAGGAAGGGATAGTTGAATGGCCCCTTCACAGGTTCCTCGGAACCCCTGTGCTTGGAATAAAATCCAACCGGGACGGTCACAGGTGAGAGGGACAGGGCCAGTGCTGCTATAGGAAGGACCTGGAAGGACTCACTACCTGAAGGAGCGAGCACCAGGTGGCCGAGCATCCTAACGTGAGAGCCAGATTCCCAGGGATAGGACGCGAGACTGGCCGGAACATACTCTCCGGTGAAAGCCAGAGCTTCAGGGCAGAGCAAAAGCAATGGTAACAGACTTGGAAAGCATTCAAGCTCAGAGGCCTTCTGCAGCCAGGATGAGAAATGCTCGGGAGGCATGTGAAGTAACCACGGGAAGAAAGAGAGGAGACTAGCAGACATGGGGGACTTCCAGAGAGTCGAGGAGATGAATAGGGACAGATTAAACATGGTCTTCCAAGCCAAGTTCATTCAAGTTAGAAGACGGAGCTGCGAGTTCTAAAGAAGGTTGGTGCCTGGCCCGGCTCAGCTGTGGAAAAGGCACCCTTAAAAGGTGTCATTTAAAGAAAATATTCCCCATCTCTCATTCTGTACCATGTATTTAGCTGACACCCCCATATACAGAGCCTGTCTTGTTCTTGTCTTTAATGAAGTCAAAGGTTGACTCTCAGAAAATAGAGAACTATCATAATTTATTCATTTCAATTCAACTTCCCTTGGTAGTACCACCCCTGGAAACAGAAGTATTCCTGTGTCCCCTGGAGTCAGTGATAGAATGATGTCTGCAAGTGTGCTACCTATGCCTCAAAACTTTTATCTCTGGCAATGTGGAGTACAAAATTTCCAAGTAAGAGTGTGGCAAATAGGACTGTTTTGACATTCAAGAATCCATTTTCCAGGTAGATCCAAGATACTCACTAGAGCTTTGAACACATTTCTTTTTCCTATTTGTTTGTTTATTTATTTTTGATACTGGAATTGCACTTGGGGCCTTCACACTGAGCTATATCCTCAGCTCATTTTATTTTTATTTTTGAAACAGGATCTCACTAAGTCTTTGAGTTGGCCAGGCTGGACTTGAACTTGAGATCCTCCTGCCTCAGTCTCCCAGAGTGCTGGGATTACAGTACAGGCATATACTACCAGCCTGCCCTGAACACATTTCTGATTTGAAACTATTCAGCCACATAGAGTTCTCTGAGGAAGACAAGGCAAAATTCCTACTGTAACTGGAGATTTGGAAGTTTAACCTGATCAACCCAAAGCAATCTGAAGCAACGGGGAGCAGACCCACACATGTCCTGGGGACCCTGCAAATAACTAACGTGCCCCTCTCCAGCCCTTCCTGGGGAGGAGGCGGGATTATGATTCAGCCACCAGAGGGCAGCAGAGCCAATACTTTGCCCTCTGTAGTCTCCAATAACGAAAACAAAAACAAAAACAAAAACCAGTTGTTAGATTGAAGTAAGACAAAGAGAAGTACGTGAGCACTTTTCTTCTCAGTCAGCAACAGTAGGCTGAAATAAGGCGGTTATGAACAGACCCAAAGGACCCTCAGTGTGACAGTGAGGTTTATGGATGTGGGGCAGGTGTCAGGTATCACAGTATGGGAAGCCCATTCAGGGGACCCTGGATGGGACAATGAGGGGCTTATTCCCTGCAGAGGGGCAAAGGTGAGGTGACAAGGACCCACACACCCCGGGGACAGTGGCTTTGAGAAGGCAGGCTCTGCTGGCATCTGCCTGCCCAGCCCCGGTCTCTAAGCCACATCAGAGAAAGAAGTTTAAAGCAGACATTCGCCTTCAGCCATCCTGAATTCCAGAGAAGACTGTCCTTGGGGACAGCAGCAGCCACTGTGGAGCCCTCACGTGTCCACAGCCAGTGGAGGCAACAAGGCCACCCAGATGTTCAACCCAGCCCACGGCCCGGATGCCAGGAGGGGAAGGGCCAAAACCACCTTGGAGATGGGAAGAAAGGGAATCTCGTCGACAAGGTCACACTCCTGGAAAGGCTGATGTGTGT